ACATACGAAGGGAAGTGTGAACAAATCCAGCAATTGTTAGCTCGTGCAGTATGGTTTACAACTGCCTGGTGCAACCTATTAAGAACATTGAAATCCGATCCAGCATTTACATATAGGGTGACTCCTAGGAATAACCACATCACCCTGTTCGTGGTTGCTTCTGCTCACTCAAAGGTCTACAGCAATCTAACCTGTTCAAGTAGAGTATACAGGTATAGGAAACAGAATACTAACACCAATGTTATTAGCAGTGTTAAGAGTCCTTGGGGGATGTCCCCCATGTGGGAGGGTGTCAGGAAAACAAATACTTAAGGTCCTCGACTGGTTCACAAGTCCAGTTTTCACAGTTCTGGTGATTTTGTCCCTTGGCGTCCAGCTGGGTGGTTTTCTTTAGTATGGTAGATCCAAGCTTTGAGTCTGTTGAGTTTGACGGCCATCAGGGTAGCCAAGAGGACTTCAAAGGGGCTGGTCCACTTCTGCTGAAGGGGGTTGACTTTCCATGCCTTGAGAAGGACCCAATCACCAGGCTGGAACAGATGGAGGGGCACATCTGGCTCAGGTGGGCTCCTCAGGTGAGTGTGTCTGTGGAGAGAAGACAGAGTTGCCCAAAGGGCCTGCAAGTATTTAGTAACTTGAACATCTCCAATTTCATGGAGGGAGGGACATTGATCGTTATTAAGGCAAGCTTTGTTGGTCATATTGGGGTTCTCTAATAAAGGGCGCCCATATAGTAGCTCCAATGGACTAAGTTTTAGTTTGCCTCTAGGGGCGGACTGAACTCTCAAGAGTGCCATAGGCAATATCTTTGTCCGTACCAACTTGGTCTCTTGGCACAGCTTTGTTAAGTGTCTCTTCAGAGTCTTGTTAGCCTGCTTTACTTTACTGCTGGACTGGGGTCTCCAGGCTGTGTGGAAGTTACAATTAATGTCTAGGGTGATTGCCACTGATTGCACCACCAAGGCCACAAAATGGGGACCGTTGTCACTGCCAATGGTGACGGGAAGCCCAAATCAAGGGATGATTTCATTCAGGAGGTGTTTCATAACCTCAGTGGCCTTTTCAGTCCTGCATGGAAAAGCTTCAATAGGTAGTGAAGGTATTGATAAAGACTAACAAATATTTGCAATTCCTGGGAGCTCGAGGCATCTCAGTGAAATCTACCTGTTAGTCATCTCCAGGCATTACCCCAGTTTTCTGGACCCCTGGGGGTGCTTCAGCAGTGTTTTGGGAATTATTTTTTGCACAGGTTGGATAGCTCTTCACCATTGCCAAAATAGTGGTGTGAACCTTTGTTCCAAATAAATCTCTTAATCCAATCATATAGTCTATTGCGTCCATAATGGGTGGACTGGTGGACTCTCCGTAGGATAGGGTGCATGAGTTTAGATGGAATGAAAATCTTTCTATGAAGTATGTACAGCCATTCATCCTTGTTTAGAGTGGCCCCCCAGGTCTTGGCAATGTCTTTATCTTGTTGGAAATAGTCCAGGTGGAGGTCAGGTGGCTGTAACTCCAAAAGGGGAATTAGCAGGGCTACTATGATAGGTTTCTGTTGGATTGCAATTTTCTTTGCTGCTGCATCTGCTTTGTAATTACCCTTGGCCACTGTGGTGTACTCTTTCTAATGCCCTCTGCAGTGCACTACAGTTAATTGGGTGGGTAGGAGAATGGCTTGTAAAAGTTGTAAGATTTCTTTAGAATATTTAATGTCTTTACCTCCTGCTGTTAGGAGCCCTGTTTCCTTCCACATTGCCCGGTGTGCATGCACTACCCTATGGGGCAGTTCTACTCTGTCCTATAGGGTTAGTATGAGTACCAATCGACCCAACTGCAACGGGTTTGTTTTTAGTTTTCTGTCTCCCAGCCCCTGCCCCTGCTCTGTTGTCCCGTGTGCCCCCTACCCAGCATTTGCTTGAACAAGCTTCTCTGAAACCCCACACCTGGCATAGCCTGAGCCCCCTCCCTGCCCCTTCAGTTCCACCCCGGCTCAGCCCACACACCTTTGCTGTGTGCTGACCTGCTAGGTCTACCCCCCACTCTGCCCTGCCTCTGTGTCCAGCATGTGACCTTATGCAAACAGTTCTGCCGCCAAAGACATAAAGATAAGGTGGTATCCGCAATCTGAGAGTCACTGAGAACTCTTGTGCTTTCTTTTTCCTTTTCTTCCTATGTCAGATTTCAGTCTGCAACTCTACTATAAGGGCCTGTGTTGAAGATGCTGACTTCAGCAGAGGAGGAATGCAGGAGTGGGAAGGGAGACATTTTACTATTTAAGATATGGATATTAATGTTAACGTGGCCTCCCTCCCCTCTTGAGAGTGTATCATCTACCACTGCACTAATTTATGCTTGTGATTTTGGCCTCCATTAATAAAGCCATCGTGGAAGAAATACACATTCAGTTTCAACAGGAGGGACTGAAACAGGCATGTTCTGGCAGAACTTTTTGTGGACGCCCCCCGCCCCACAAAGAGGGAAGTGGGGAGTTCCTGGGTGATGCAAATGGTGAAGTGCTCAGCTGCTAACCAAAGGGTGGGTGGTTGGAATCCACTCAGAGGTGCCTCAGAAGAAAGACCTGGTGATCTACTGAAAAATCAGCCATTGAAAACCTTATGGAGCACAGTTCTGCTCTGACACACATGGGGTTGCCATTAGATATGGAGTAGACTCCATGGCAACTGGTTTAGAGGGAAGGGAGCTCATTGGAGGGAATTTTGCCCTGACACCTGTAGTCCCTGTACTTGTGTGGGAAAGTCATTAGCAAGGATGAAAATGTCTAATAGGTTCAGAACACAGCATCTCCTTTAAGCCCTTTAGTGGAAAGTGTGCTGTCAGTTGTGTACCTAGAAAAATCTGCTGGAGCTGGAAGGAATTTACATCATTTCAGACCTACCTTTACACTAACAGTTTCTGTTGAGTGAAGCCAGCAAGGAGGCAGGGTCCAGAGAGGGAAGGTGTAGTGTTTGAAGCTGGACACAGCAGAGCATAAATCCTCTGAGAACTGGAGGGTGGAGGATGCCCAGAGGGTTAAGGTTAGGGTTAGAGTCAGGGTTAAGGTCAGGCTATGTCAGGGAGAGGGTGAATACCAGGGTTAGGGTTTTAAAGTTAGGATTAGGGTCAGGGTGAGGTCACTAGGTAAAACTCCATTCAGTTCTCTTTGTGAGTGTGTGTTGGCAGTGTTCTGACATTCCTGTGTTTGTGGGGACTTCTCTCTTGAGGACTGAGAGGCAAACTGGTTGTTGATTGTGCTGGATTAAGGGGAGGCTGCCCGGGGTGTGAGGCTCCATGGGATGCCAAATCAATATGTGTCAAAAAATTAATTTTAGTAAAATACTATCAAAGAAAGTAAATATCAAGCAGTTATCCTAAGTTTATATAGACGTTTCCAAAGTATATGTTGTTGCACAGTGGCATAAATAGGGTGCACGAAACCCTGCTGCAAACACAGCATCAGTCCTCCTCTAACTTCACAAGGGGGAGGAGAGAGAATCAAGACCAACATCACCCCAAGGCTGATTCTGTGAGGTGGAGGTCAAACATACCTCCACCTTCCAACCTTTTTACCAATTCTGACACCAGCAGTCCTTCCCACGGCACTCTCTTCTTCTCTACTGGGTTCAGTGATTTGTTGCAATGGCCACACAGAAGTCACAGACCATACTCACAGTTATGGAGTTTATTAGGGAAGTAACAGGTTACAACTCAGGATCAGGAACGACTCAGGATACAGTTCATCGATAAGGACAGCTTCTTTTCAGCCGTGTCCTCAGGCAGGCCTGCCCCTCAGCCCCTCAGCCTGGCCTCTGCCCCACTTAGTAAAGTGTCACAGCTTTTTAGCTCCACCAAGTGCCTGGATGCACCTCACTCTGCCAGCAAGCCTCCTGCCCAAAGCTGCTCAGCTCTCTGGCTCCTTGGGTTGGCGTGCTCACTGTAGCCGCTTTGCTCCATGGGATGGGAAGTCCACTGTGCCATCCTGGTTCTGCTGCTTCCCTTTGCTGTGCTTTTTGCCATCTCATGCCATCTCCAGTGTTATGGCTCTCTCTGTCTCCTGGGTCTAGGAGGTTCTCTGTGCAGGGACCCCGGGTCCAAAGGACATACCCCACTCCAGGCTCTTCTTGATGGTACTGAGGTCACCCTGCCTCTGGGACTGGCTCCCTTTAAGCCTAGTGTGATTGCAAAATTGCCCATTCCCCTCATTAGGGTTCCATACACCTTATTTGCATGGTCCCCCCACAAGGGTTCTGTGCATCTTATTTGCATTTTTAGGAGGCTGTCCAATCCGCTTGGTATGCCTCAAGCACCTTATTTGCCTACTCCCACACAATCATTTTGTGGCTGTTAGAAGACCATGGCTAGAAGGGCTCTATTACTAGTAATTCACTTCAGCATACCTGCTATGGAAAATACTCTATTATTTAAAGTAACTACTTTTTTAATATATCACAAAATGTTCACCACTATGTTAGTATGAAAACTTCAGTTTCATCACCGTTCAGTATGATGTTGTTTATGGGCCCAGTTGTGAGGACTTTTGTTTTCTTCACGCATGTGCACATTATGAATTGATGTTAATAACTCTAATTCTAATCTGACACCCTAGCAACGATCCTTTCCTCCTCCCTTCAGTATCTGTACCTCCTTTATCACCTTTCTTTAGTAGGAGAAACCCTAGGTCTCAATAATATCAATAGATTTAATCATGTGCTCAGTTATATAATAACCGAAAAACAAGAAAACCGAACCTGTTGCCTTTGAGTCAATTCTGACTCGTAGCAACCCTATAGGACAGAGTAGAACTGCCCCATAGGGTTTCCAAGACTGTAATCTTTACAGACTGCCACATCTTTCCTGTGGAGTACCTGTTGGATTTGAACCGCTGACCTTTCAGTTAGCAGCCGAGCGCTTAACCACTATGCCATCAGTTCTTCTCAGTTATATAATACACACAAAAATCTAGAATTGCTACACCGATACTTAAGTAGCCTTAAAAATTCTTTACAGTGCTTGCTTCGGCAGCACATATACAAAAATTGGAACGATACAGCGAAGATTAGCACGGCCCCTGCGCAAAGATGACACGCAAATTCATGAAGCGTTCCATATTTTTAAAAGAGAAGAGATTGAAAAGGTAATTAAAAAAACTCCCAACCAAAAAAAAGCCCTGGCCCAGATGGTTTCACTGGATAATTCTACAAAACATTTACAGAAGAGCTTGTACCGGTACTACTCAAGCTATTTCAGAGCATAGAAGAGGAAGCAAC